GCAGTGCTGGGCAGTGCTTGGAGATGGAGTTGTTTTCTGAAAGACTTTTGGGCACAAACTGGGGTGAGATGCAGCCCTATGGGGTAAACCCCATGGAAAGCACGCAGGGTTGGGGTTGGATCCTTGAGCTCTTTTGCAAAGCCTTTCTGGTTCTGATTGCAATCAATTCAGCCATCTAAAATGATATACAAACATTGCTTGTACCCCTCACCCCCTTGGTTTCGGAACAGAGAGTCTCTTGCAGAAGGGAATTCCTCTCATTGGGCGTTGCTTTGGGATTGCTGGGTGATCACCCAAACCCCAGTGCAAAGCCCCAACCTCACTTTGGGCAGAAAGAGCGTGTTTTCTGCTCAGAAGAGCTTTGGTTTCCTGTGCAGTGGATGTGGTTGGGATCTGGTCACTCACCCCACACGCTGAGCCCCACCAGCAGCAGCAGCAGCAGCAGCAGCTCCAGCATGCAGGCTTTCAGGAAGATGTGGTGCCAACGGGGGCAAACGGTGGGACCTGGATGAGCCCACATGTGTGAAAAATGACACTTGGCTTTTAAGAAAAAACATCTTTTTTTTTTTTTTTTTAAACAAAGACATTTTTTAAAGATATTTCAAAATCTTTTCCAAGTCTGCTCTATCTAAAAAAGCATCTATGTCGGTGCAGACTTTGATGGCTGCTCTGTTTCCACCACATTGTGGGGACCCCAGACCCTTCCCATTGATTCCCATGCTGTGTGTGAGCATAAGTTGATGGCTGCTTGTTTTCCTCCAGTTCTGGGGTCCCCAGAACCTTCCCTGTTTCTCCCAGTGGTTCCCAGCTGGGAAGGAGGTGGTACAGAGGGGTGACAGCAGCAGAGCTTCCATTTTCTTACATGGGGGTTGGGATCAGATGCACTGGGGATGGGGTCAGGCACATTGGGGTTGGGCAGATTATAGTTTGGGTTAAGAACATCAGGGTTCAGGTTAGGAGGATGGGCTCCCATTGGAGGTTGGGTGGGCACAGGGACATCACCTCCACGTGTGGTTTTGGAGGTGATGGAGGCCCTCAGGTCCCATAGAGCATGGGCTGGAAGCTGAGCAGCCCCTTGTGAACCGAGCCCGGTGTGGGGCAGCTGGTGGCTGGGAGGGCTGTGATCTCTGCAGCCATCGTGCCACATGGATCCAGGATGCGTCTGCCACCATTTCATGCACTGCCTTCCATTTTCTCACATTGGGTTTCCCCATTAGGGCTGCTTTTTGCTCAAAACCATCGCACCTCTGGCCACTCTCAGCCTTCCTTCTCCCCCATCCCTGCCTTTTCTCCCCTATACAAGCCTGGATCAACCCAGAATCCAAC